AATGAATGGATATCCTTATTACTTCTATTACTTATATCTCATCTAAGGTATGGGTACTGTTGAAGGAAGGTAAATCTTATTCTTCTTTTCACACCAGTCCCAGTGACCCGGTATTTCTGTGCAGAGGGGAAAGGGAGCCTGTTTTTCTCTCCTGTAGCCAGAGTACATGACATGGCCTCAGATCTCCAGTGTAGGTTGGTAGAAATAAGGGGTTTTCCAAATAGGAGCCAAGCACTTTTTCGTGTTTGCAGCAGCCGGGGCGTATCACTAGGCTTCCCATTTCTGTCCTTCATTTCATTCATGAAATGGTGTCCCTCCTAGTTTGCCTCACCCTCTGGCTAGTTGTTGTCAGGTGACTTTTACAAGTCTTAAATTCATGCCTGAAAGGGATAATACTGGTCTTCTCATTCTGTTAAAACAAAGAGATGCTTAGAAAACGTACACATTTAAACCCATCTTAATGTTTCAAATATCATTATTTTCAGTAGAAACAGCTTCTTAGTTAAATGGCTTTCAGGCATCAGACTATTATATGACAGATGATTTTGTCACTATGCAAAATGTGAAACCTGTAATCAACTTGTTATGGCATTTCACAAAAGTATGTGACAGTAAAATAAGTAAACTGTCATTTGGGCAATCAAGTCTTGAAATTCTGCAGGAGGAAAAAAAAAAGTACCTGACACTCAATCTTCATGGTAGGGATGAGGTTCAAAAAACAATTTAATACTGCTACAATCTTACAGGTTTGAATAGAATTCTTACTGCAGTGTGCTTAAGTCTGCAATAATTTTGTATTATGTTTTAATCATGTATTTTCCCCCCTAATTGATTTTTTCCCCAGATAATGTATATGCACGTCACACAGCAAGGTCTGCTCTGTTAACAAGGTGTTGCTTTAACTGAAACATTATTTTCCCTTTACTACCGATGACAACATTATCAATTACCAAGCACACTCAGGCTGGTTTGATATCAGAACGGATACAGCAGGCAGGAGCCCACGCTGCCTTCCCAGTGCCCGCGAGAGCCGGGGCAGACAGGGTGCCGGCGGCGGGGACGGGCAGGCTACTACATGGCTGGAATGTTTGGGATGATGCGCAGCCGAACCCGCGCTGCGCTGGCTTTCACAGATTGCACATAAAAGTTTTATTAAAGGAAAGGGACGTACAAGCCACGGTTCATAAGCTGCTTGTGGCCCTTCATGCCGGTTCGTTTGGCCTGCGGCTTGTTCTCCGAAGTCCTTGTTCTCCCCTGTGGCTGCGGGTTTGATGCAGCGGGCTGGTGGCTGCAGCCCTCCCCGGGCTCCCCTCTCCCCCAGGCGCTGCCCCAGGCTCAGGGAAGGAGCAGGTTAGGGACAGTTTTTTTTGTTACAACCAATAAGTAAATGTTGTCAAATGGGACTGTGGGAAGGCACTGGGGGGCACACGGGCTTTCGCCATTATGCCACTGAAAGGTGTGTTCCCCACTCCCCTCAAAGAAGCAGACACCATGAGTGTACAGGCACTAGCAATGAGCTCTTATAACTGGGACTGTAAAATGAATCCGTAGCCTCCTGTTTCCAGTCATTACTGACAGTCACAAATTTTGGAACTGATCTCTTCCCAGAGAGGAGCTGTACAAACTAAGAATAAAATCACACTTAATTATGAAAAGAGTGAAGGGAAACAGGGAAACCTATTTTTAACTTTTTTTTTTTTTTTTTTTTTTCCCCTTGTGGCCTCTTCACAGTTACAAACCAACTGGTAAAACCAATGAAATCTGCAAGTTAATATTTTGCATGGAATAACCTTCAGTGAAGAGTACTGCACAGCCTGGCTTTGCAGAAAATGGATTTTGTTTTGACAAAGTTATGAACATTTGGAAATTACTCACTGAGCACACACAACAGGCCTTTTGTCAAGTCTAACTGGGAACATACAAACCAATATTACTGTATGTACACAGCTGATCTCGCCGCACGCTGAAGCTGTGGGGCCCCAAGAACAGGCTTAGACTGGCCTGGGAAAGGCCCTGAGCATTTGACCTAACGAGAGCTGAAGGCTGTGGCTCACCTCGATAGCTCAGGGAGCAAACTCTAAGGATTCACGGGTAGTGCTTCACTCATCCTTCCCCGCCTGCTCTACATAGTCATACCATAACTTATTTTTTTTTCCCATCCCAATATATAATTTGTAGCTTCTCTAATTGCAGACAGCAAGAGAAGGCAAGCCTACAGCAAGCCCAACTGTGGTGAGTCTGTTGGCTACAGGGAGGAGGAATCCTCTTTGATACCTCAATGGTGGCTTACAGCTGGAGACTCACAGAGAACCTAAACATCACTACTGTCAACAAGCTTAACGGAGATAGAGGAATAACTTTCTCTTTAAATCTCGGCTTTTGGGAAGGTTCATGCTTGGAAAGGTAGGAAGACTGGACTAGCAGCAGAAGGAAACAGTGACAGAGGCAGCACCAGAGCTCAAAGGTCGCGAAGCAGAGCAGTTCACACAACTGACTTTGACTTCATCTGCCTCTACTGAGGTCTTACTCTGCTCCTAAGAGGGACTTTACCAAGCAGCTCCAGCCATAAGCAGAGACAGAACAAAATGCAGTCCATATTCATACATCTGATGTTGTAGGACAGAGCGAAAAAGGCTACCCAACTCTTGCGGAAAAACGGGGTGCAGACAATCCAGAGAAGCCCAAAGGAAGGAGAGGTTGAACAGATAAGAGTGACATGGAGAAAGGCAGCTTGTGTGGAAAGGTAAGACATTGACCAGGGGGAACTGGAGAACCGTGGCAGAAAATGACACTTTTACTTTGAAGTCCAGGAGGAGGCAAAGAAGTAGAGATTCTTACTAAAAAGAAAAGCTATAGAGGAAGGTGCTGAGAAAAGGAAAGGATCAGAGAGCTCTGGGAAGCTATAGGAGTCCACAGAGATCATCCTTTTGGACTCTGTCACTACTGCCCACAATTTCCTTAGGAAATCTCCTATTGTAATAAACACACAGAGATCACTAATGCTAGGTTCCTCTCAAGCTGCTCCTTCTCCTGTTAGCTTCGCAGCTCCCAGTCTCAAATAATCAGATAGACCGTTCTTGCCACTTTGTTCATTTTACCAGGAGACAATGTCTGTGGGTAAACAAAAAGTGCTTTCCATTGGTTTTTGACCACCCTAACTCCTCAGGCAGGCAGGATTCACTATACTAGTTCAGTACAAAAAGGCTAACATGCCTGGGATAAGACAGAAGTAATTATACAGTAACTGCCGAGTCTATTGCTACACTTTGCCTAGTTCATACCTAAAGTTCAAAAACCGTAATACCAGCTAATATTTCCACACCAATGCCGCTTCTGTAAAATGCATGAATGGCATGCCGGAAAAGTCAAGAAAGACTAGTGGAGTCCAGAAATACCTGAGCTATTCTCTGCCACTTGCTGGATGTCTCTTGCTCTCTGAGCCTCAGCTGCTCCACAGCTTTATTGGTTCTCAGATACAGCCCTCCCTTGCCTTTGTCTCCTTAGGTCCTAAAGTGAACGTGTTTGCTGTGTCCGGTGCGCTGTGTGACCAGGGATTTGACAGGTCAGTGCTGTTTCTGATAGCACAGAAGCTGACAATCAGAAGGACCTCCTTATGGAGTAGAGGCCAACCACTGTCACCTTTGTGTATGTTTTGTTTGCCTATGGAGTGCTCATTACGCTATAAGGCATTTTAGGAATCATAACTGTTCATTTGACAGCCTGCCAACTATTTTGACAAACCCACTTGGAAAGTGAGAGACAAACTACATGGGGTTCTAAGCTTCCAGAGAGCTTCCAGTTTCACAGACTACTTGCGCTGTAAACAAACATCCACCTGTGCTCAGGAAACCTAGTGATGTTCGTCCAGTTCAAAATTGTTGATGTCACTGCTAAAACTACCTCTGGTAATGGGCAGCTCAGCAAAAAAGTGACCTGGACTGAATGCGATGTCAAGACCGCTGCTGATGACACAGTAAGTAAAAGCCTTTGGACGCTGATTGACATGCCAGAACTTGACATACCATGTCCCACCAACTTGATGTATTCTGGATGCTTTTGATAGCAGAGAAAGGCTGGACCATGCCGCTAAGCGCAAACGTTCCTCGTCATGATGGTGAGCAGAACCAGCTCCCTGAAAACAAGTATTATTTTTTTTCTAAATTTGCCCGCTCTTGTCCGCCTTTACCCGCCCTCACCCTGCAGCTCCCGGCCTCTGCCCCCGGATCCCTCCCGGTCCTCCAAGTCAGCCCCTTCTCATTTGCCTCCGCCCCTGCCCTCTGCTTTGGGGGGGGGACGGGGGGGGACACACCGCTGCGGAGGGCAGGGTGGGGGCCGCCGTGGCTCCGGCGCCCTCGGGGAGCTCTCCCCGGTGCCGGCCGGGGAGGCGGCGGCAGCCGCGGAGGAAGAGCCGGCTGGGGCGGCTTCCCCCTGCGCCTCCGGCCGCGGCCCGGCAGGCGGCAGCACCGCGCCCCACCGCGCTGCTGCGCCGGCTCCGCTCCGCGCCCGCGCTCTGCCGCGGCTGCGGGCTGCGCCGTGCTCTCCGCGGCCCCCCCCCCCCCCCCCCCCCGGCCCCCGCCCAGCCACCCCCGCCACCGGCAGAAGGGTTGTGCCTGGGCGGCAGCGGGCGCGGCGGACCCCCCCCCCCCCCCCCCCCCCCCCCGGGCGGGGTGGGCGCGGAGAGGTGTCCCGCCGAGACAAAGGCGCCCGGGAGGGTGAAGCCGCCCCTCGCAGACAAAGCGGCAGCCGCCCCTCCGCGCCCTCCCGCGGGGGAGCCCCCGGGCGAGGGGTTTCCACGGCTGGGGCTGCCTGAGCCCTACCGGGAGGAGGAGGAGGAGTAAGGAGGGTGGGGGGAGCGGCCGTGCCGTGGGCAGGAGGGAAGCCGCTCTCCGCGCGTGAACTGAGCTCAGCACCGCCGCCTGCCTCGCCTCGCCTCCCCTCCCCTCCCCGTCCCTCCCTCCCTCCCCCCCGCCCCCCCCCCCCCGCCGCAGACAGCGGCGAGCCCGGATGGTTTGCGAGCGGAGTTGAGGGGGGCAAACTTTGAAGCCCAGATGCCTGCGGGGCCGCGCGGCAGAGCGCGGCTGCTCCCGCAGGCACCTGCCGCCGCCCTCCCTCCGGCGCTGCCGCCTTCCGCGGGGGCGGCCGGCCCCGCTGCCGGCGGCCGCCGAAGCGGCGGGCGCTGCGGCCGCGGCTAGGGGCGGGCGGCGGGCCGCGCCCCCATGCGGGTCCCGGGCTGGGGCGCGCCGGCGGCGGCGGCGGCAGGCGGGAGCCGGGCGGCGGCCGGGCGGTGCTCTCCCGCCGCCTGAGCGGGCGGCGGCGCGGCGGGACGGCGGCGCGGGGTGCCGGGAGCCATGGGCTATTGCAGCGGCCGGTGCACGCTGGTGGCGGTGTGCGGCGCGCAGCTGGTGAGTGGCGGCCCCGGGGCGGGGGGTGTGAGGGGGGGAGGCTGGTGAGGGAGAGGGGACGGTGGGGTGGCTCCCCCCGCTACCCGGGAGGGGAGCCCGGGGAGTGGGAGGGTGATGGCGAAGGGGGGGGGGTGGGGGGTGTTCGGGGGCAGCGCCCGCGCTTTGGGCGAGGAGGATGCGGGGTGGGGTGGGGTGGGGGAGACGCGTGAGGGTGGGGAAGGCGGGCCGCGTTACAGGTAGTTTCGCGGGAGCTCGGGCAGGGAGGCTGCGGTGGGCGCCCGGCGGAGTTCGGCAACTCGGGCAGTTTTCCCAAGCGTTGGCTCAACAACTTGGCACCCGGCTGCCGCCGGCAGGCCGGTGGCGGGCTGGCCTGGCGTGGAGAGGGGACGCGGCCGTGTCACGGGTGATGCACGGCGTGCCAGCAGTTTGCCGTGCAGGTGTGTGCGTGTGAAGTTCTTACGCCTGAGCCCTTCTGCGGATGTGTGTGTTTCTCTTTACCCCCCCCCTTTTCAGACTCATTGGCCAGACTATGTTAAGATTGTATCGTTATCTTCTTACAGAACTAAAACAGTTATGTATTTATACTTACCTTTAGAGGAGACGTGTGGCAGCACTTGTAAGCTCTTCTACCAACGAAACTAGACTGAGTTTGAAAAGTAGGCACCGAGATACAATAACAAAGAACCTGCCTAAAAATAGATCTGCTTAGCAAGACGGTTAGACTGCAGTTGTGTTGTGGCACCTTAAAAGTGTCTGGGTTTAAAGTTAAGAAACTGAAGAAATGCCCCTTCCTGTAATATATACATGGATTATTTCATTGTTATCAAGCGGGATACAAGATGTGTAGAATTCCTGTGGATTTGGATGCAGTGACACACAGTTTAAGACCTATCAGTGGAACATGCCCCATTTCTTATTTTCATTAGCCCAAGTGCTCATGTGCTGGCAGAGCAGGTGCTGGAAGCACCTTTGTTAAGCAGTTAACCTTATAGCAGGAAGGAAATAATTCATGTTACTCCATCCCTCTACCTCTTACTGAATACTTTCGCTGAGAAAGTGTTAGTCGGTGTCAATAGCAACCAGCGTTGACACCAATTCCCCTCCTGCAGACAGGTATTAAGAGAACTACAGAAGAAAAAACCCAGTAGATTTCAGGGACCTAAATCAGTTAAACAATAGGTAGGAAAAGGAAGATGTGTTAGCAGATGAGAAGTTGAAAATGCCTGCGGTCTTTCCATCGGTTGTAATCAACCCTTAATCCTTTTGTATTCTGGAAAACATTTTATTTGTATATGCTGTTCTCCACCTAAGTTATCTGATTCTTTGTAGCTGGAAGTATCTTATCAGATGTGATTTATTCATGCACGCTGTCTAAAAAAAGAATCTCAAATAGAAGTAGTGAATCTTGAGTGGAATGGTAGGAATGTAACCTTTTCCAGCAATTTGGAAGCATAAAATTAATCACCGAAGTTCTTCAGATCCATTTAAGTTTCAGAGGCATACTTTTTCTTTTTTTTTTTTTTTTTTTCTTTTTTTCCCCTCCTCACAAAGGGAACAAAAACTGCTTTAAATAGTACCTATTATGGATAAAAGTTTGATTTTTTTTTTTTTTTTTTTTTTTTAATGCATTCAACAACCGGGAGTTTATGATGACAGTGGAATGTGCTAAGATTTTAAATTATAATTGTTTTGAAACTCTGTGAAGGAAAACATATTTGCTAACTCATGGTGACAGAAATATGTGCAAAACTCATAGTAGAAACATCAACAGAAATGCCCCGTAGGAATGTAACAACAAATGGATGGGCAGGTAAGCTAATGTAGAATTGTAGCATTACTGTAAGCTTTCTAAAGGTGGTTGTAAACTATGGGGTCAAATGTATATATATTTTTTTTAAAGTAATTATTGTTTTCTGGAGTAGCTTAAGCGAACTTTTAAAATATTTTCATAAACTGAAAGCAAACTTGAAAATTTTTATTGAGCCAGAAAAGGACATGCTAGCAGCAACGCAAACCTCTGAATCACACTTGGCCTATGTAATGACATTTAGATAGGTTCGAAGCAGGAATAATAATTCACATGGGAGAAAGGAATTGGGAATGGAAAAAATGATGCACTTTCTTAAAATTACTTGTCATATTCCTTCATGTGCCATATGCCATCAGTTGGGAACAGATCATGAGTGTTAAGTCAAGGAGACTTGAGTCTCCTAAGCAGGTCTATGGGTGATTGATCAGTTGTCACTCACTGCTTTTTAGGTAAAGACTACTTGAAGGAACAAATGCTGTCACCCTAGAATTAACAGCCACGTTAATGCAGATGCAAATCAAGAAGGAAGGATGAAAAAGTTATCTGGCCTGAGGAGATGGGCATGGGAAGCCTTTCTACAATGATAAAGTACTTTTTAAAATAAAAAAAAAAGCATAAAACTTTCAATGCGAAGATTATTTATTACTGATACCTGTGTTTCAGTTTTAAAATGGTCATGTTTGAAGTAGAAAATATACTTCTGTTTGAGGGGAAAAAAGTTCATAAAAATAAAGGTTTCTTCTATTTTTTGAGTGAAAATATTTTCTTCCATTTCTGCAGAACTGGGGTGTGGTGATCTAATTGGTCTTTGTAGGCACTGTACAATAAATAATACTGAGGAATACTGCAGCTCATTAGAGGAGCTGTTGTATATTGTACATATACAAATGATGTAGATGTTGCGAGTGGAGGAAAAAAAAAAAAAGGTGTTACTGGTGCAGGAGTAGAGCTACATCAACTCGAGAGACCCTGCTCAAGCAGAATTATTTTCATAAATGCATTTTAAATGCTTATAGCTAAGGCAACATACTGTACCATCAGATTATCAGAAAGCTCAAGGAATGTTTCTGCTCTCAAGGGCATACTGATCATTGCTCCCCTACTTATTAACATACATATACCTTCCTGTTTGTGCTCTCATTTGTACTATGGAAAACAACCTTTGACAGCTCATTTTCCTCTGCATTTGTAGCCAATGAGAAGAATTAACAGCAAGTAAAAGCTAATTTTGCTGATGTTAGGAACGAGGCATTGCCTTCTGTATTCAAAGCTAATTACCTCAAAACATCTTTTCAGTTTTATTTTAAGATACTAATTTTGGTCTCGTCCTTTGCCTTTCTGAAGTAAACCTGGGGCGTAGGGGCCCTGGTGATTTTTGTTGTATGTCAGCTATCCTGGTTGCACTAAAAGAATTCTCTGCTATTGCATTTTGTCCTTTAAACCTCTTTATTTTTGGGTGTCTCCTTTTCTATTAATAGCTTACATCAGTAACACTAATATCTCATTGCTTAGTCTTTTTAATAGCGAGAGTAGCAAAGGTGAAACTGCCAAGAATACTGTGCTTTCTAGAAGGCTTCAAGAGCCCCATGGAACCCAGTTTGAAACTTTCTACATGTCCACTGTTGCTGCTTGGGAAACTTGGAGCAGTGAGAAAACGGGAACAAGGACTGTGTGTTTTCAACTTGGAAGCTCTCTTCCCAAGTGCAGTGATGAGAAAGGACAGCACTTCATAAGGAAATGTCCTTGTTCTGTGCTTTTCCATATGTGAATAATGCCCATTAAGAGAAAATTCAGATACTTTATTTCAAAAACTGTGTCAGCTGAGGTAATTTCTATATACATCTGTGATACCAATGTCCATAAACACATATTGAGTTACCTTGTTGCACATGAAGACACATATTTCATCTAAAGCAGATGAAGTGGTGGAACCACTCAAACATAGGAAATTTACTCCACACAAACTGGGAAGTAGTATCTACCGTATGTGTTCTGTGACTTCTTCTGGCAACATGAAATATGCCCGTAATCTGTTTTGTACACATTATATAAGGCTGAAGAGTGTCCTGTTCTCTTCCAATTCTCACATGCGTTATGAAACAACAGGACATGTAAGTACAGAGAACAGAGCTTGGTTCCTCAAGAAAAAGTCTGCATTAGCGATCAGTGCTGCCAAGTTTTGGTTAGCCTTTTTTGAACGTGAACCGCGGACATTCTTATGCTCATTCAGACATTTCAGGAATGGTGATCATGGCAATTCTAGTCTATATCACAGATCTGCCTACAAGGTTTATCACAGATTAATACCATGAATATCCTTTATTAGGGAAAAACTCAACGTTTTAATGGTTTGCAGGCTAAATTGTCTCTGGACCTTCAGGAAGTGAGGTTTGCCCAATTACAGCTGAGGCTTCTCTGAGAGCAAAGCGAAGGTATTCGCACCAGATACTCCCTAGGACTAGTTACTCTCTAGTTCTATGTAATATAGAACATATGTTTGTTAATACAGCATCTTATACCATGCATATGATCAGGGTACTTTCCAAGAGCACATAAAACCACATAACGAGCATATGTAGCATGTTTATTTTTTTCATTTTTGCTATAGGGAAGCTGTAGTGAAAATTTTGGTGTTTGCTTTCAATTGCTGGGTTTTGGGGAGGTTTTTTTTTTCCCTCTTTGCCTGTGTGTTTTAATTGTAGTTCGGTGTCACTGTTGCCAATGGTTTTCAATAGCAGCTTTAGGAGGGAAGTATCTGCAATGGAAAATTCTGATGACATGTACATGTTCCTACAATTTTCTGCTAGCTAAATGGGAATTAAAGACGTGGGCTTTCCATGTGGAATGGAAAATGATGTTGTTGCTGTACTCAGCCTGTGGACCTGTAGGTTTATCAATCTAGAAAGGGAGTAGAAAGAATTGGTTTCTGGTTTGTGTAGTTCTTCTATTTAAGTACTGCCTTTGAAATTGTGACTGTCAACAACTTGTGCCTGTGCCTTCTTTAAATTTCTGCTTCTTGCTTTGTTTCAATTTTGATAGGAAAAAAAGTGAAAGTCTTAGTTTCATTGTACCCCAAAACATTGTGATCCTACTATTAGTGAAAAGGAGCCAGTCCTGTGAATAGCAGACTTTCGGCAGATATACATTGGAAAGCTGCTGTATAATACTAAGGAGTAGATTTTGAGGTGTT